TATATCAGCGCAATTGTATTAAAGTCAAGGAACTTTAAAGCTGCTTTTGAGGCAACTTTTACCACAAAATATTGCATGTCATGCCATATGAAAGATGAGTGTCCATAAAAATAATTTATATATATAGATATATATATAATATACAACAGAAAAATAATTTTGCGGCTGGTCAATTAGATGCGGCTATTTAAGGAACCGGACAGAGCGTTACAGTTATAGCAAATGTATGAAGTTGTAAGTGGAACTTTGCTTTCAAACAAACTTAAGTAATACAGTTCATTAATCTAAGTTGAGCTTTAAATTAATATAATGTTAAGTGAATACACAAAAAGGAAAACCAATTGTACTTTATTTAATGCAGTTCCAAAATATATATAAATTTAAATAAAACAAGTTCAGTTTCTTAAGAAACAACGCCATACAAATTTAAACAAATTGCCCTGGCGCCCAAGCACAGATCATTACGAGCCAGCTGCATAAATCATGAAAGGTTGAGGTTAAATTAAACGGCTTATGTCCAAATTTGTATCATTTAGTCTAATTTAGCATCAAGATAAACGCATATTAAAACTAACACGAGCATTTTATATGGCACACATTTGGTATGCATTAACATAAGAACTTTAAAAACAAGCAAACAACAATATTAAATTACTCAAAAACCATGATTAAAACCAAAAGCTGCTATCAAGAATACAAAAAAGCTGAATGACACCTTTGAAATCCAGGTAGATAGCTTGGTAAGTACAGCCAGAGAAGAACACCCGATAAAAACCTAATTCCCAAAAACAAAAATCAAGGCAGAATCTCGCTAAACTCAACAAACATTTGGAATATATTTATGTATATACACTTTATAAATACTTCAGCTACCTTGCATAAGTATTTGCCCCTGTAGCTGTCACTCAAACGCCCTCTAGCGCATATACTCACAAACAGGAACACACACACACACACACACAAAATGCCTTATGAATAATCACACAGCATTTCATTGTAAATCAGACAAAAAGTGCGCGTATCACCAAGTTGCCAAAAAAAAAAGTAAATAAATAAATAAATAAAAATACACAAAAAATTCAAAAGAAATTTTGACATGAGCAAAACTTAGTGGTAACAGCTTAATTACAAGTTTTGCCGCACGTGCTAACAGCATGTAACGGTACTCCAATCCTAACTGACCAACTAGAAGATACCGTATCCCTCGGCAGATAACTTAAGCAATAATTTGTTGTGTGATTTTTTAGAATAACAATTAAATAATGTTTTTATTTGAAAACATTTTATATCCCTAACACTTCTTCTTCTTCTAGGTATCCCTAACATTTCTGCTATCTCCATAAAATTTTTATGAATATTCAACAAGTTGATATACATTAAAAATGAATACAAGATATAGTTCACATTTGTCATCTATAGCTTTTGCTAATTCCCAGCTCAGCTAGTATTTCCACAGACGCCCCATTATCCCAGTGCCTACAAACAGACATCATCAATATACCCTTTTCACTCGCTTACAATTCCTAAAGGGTATAAATTGCTTGAGGCTGATGTGTACCTTTCGCCAAATGTCTCTGAGCACTTGACACAATATTATTTGAATTTTCAGAAATATTGTATTATTGCGGCACTTTTGAGCACCTGGCGAAAATGTGGCTAATTTTATCTAGCTAAAACTAAAAAAAATGTATATGGTGTGTGCTCTAAATATATATCAAATTAAACAAGGGACAATATATAGGCATATCATTTTCAAATTGAGTTTCAAGTCAAGTTCACAGTCGACCGTTTACATGAGAGCTGGCTTTAATAGCACGTGGCTTAACCTGAAGTATATTAATTTATGCGCTGCGCCAGGGGAGAGGAGATGATAGCACCTTGATTAATATGCGTGATATATTATTATCATTGTCCCCACGCTCATACACACACACACCCACAGCATACAACCACGCGCATAAATGATTACAGCTAAAACATTTAAGCGGATGAATTTGTCTAGGGTACTAGAGATGCTAATTGATGCGGATGTTTTGATTTGATTTGTTGCACTCCTTTGAGTCACATGCTTGAAAACTTAATTAGATTGTAAAATGTGCACTTGAGCTGAAATCTTGATTTGCATTTTAAGCAGCTTACACGTTCAAGAGCATTACAGTGCTATTTGATTGTAAGCATACTACTATTGAAGATGATCATGCTCTTTGACTACTCATTGAAGTTAAATATATAAAAAAATAAAAATAAAAATAAAATTTTCAGGCTGTGTTTTGTTATTTATTATTAATTTATTTAGTAAAATAATCATTTTAGTCAAGAGCTTCACCCGAGTTGAAACTCCGAACTCCACTTTGCCTAATACTGAAAGCTCGTTTAAGCAAACTAAACTATTCTGAAAGCGCGCCCCATATCACACACACTCTCTCTCTCTTTCTCTCTCTCTACGGTGCTTCACGCAATTTAAATTTGCTCAGCACATTAAGCTTACAGCTTCTACATATAATCAGAATCTCATTAAAGCTTTATACTAATTAGACCTCCTCGACGGTCTTATCCTAAAGTAAGCAAGCTTGTGCTAAGTCCCAGACTTTGAGTTATCATCGCCTGCCCAACAATCCGGCCTTGTCAGCCTGCTGTCATAAAGCTCTCCAATATTATTCTTTAGCGGCTCGCCTTGAATAAATACCAATTTATTTTTAACGCAACATTGTTTTTCTTATTTAAATGAAAATTATCAGCACGACACTTGGTGGCGGATATGAAGTATTATATATAAATATATATATGGATGTGTATATATGTATAAATTTTCTTCTTGCTCTCAGCCAGACGCCGAACATAGACAAAGCGCTGATTGGATTTAAAGTGACAGTAATAAATGACAAGAAAGGCGTGTTTCATTTATAAATACGAAAAAGCATACGCAATAGCCCGGACGGTTATTGGGAACTGTCTGAACTTGCACTAGAAGAAAGCGTAACAAAAAACCAACAGCAAACGGAAAGAGAAAGAAAAAACCTAGAATATTGAAAGACGTCGGAGACTTTGGGCTAAGTAAACAGACATCGCTGGTCGCCACATTTTAGAGAGCTCTGACACTGACAAGTCAAACAAATTGCAGGGTATTGGGTTGGCTGGGGCCAGTACTGGGGCTGGGTCCGGGGCTGAGGAAGGGGAATCTGGGAACGATGGTTCGAGTTTAATTTCTTGTTTTGCTTGCTTTTATTTTTCATGCTTCAATTTTATTTTTATTTTTATATTTTTGTTTATAGGCATTTTTTTCTGTTTTGGCTTTTAGTTTTTGCTTCTCATTTTCTTCATTATGTCAGTGTCAGTGTTGTGCAGCGGTCGTTGTAATATGCACACAAGCGGAAGTGATGAACTAACCCCTACCCTGGGGCACATTGAAAATCTTCAATCGAAGATTTCAGAATAAATAATTTTTTAATTATTTAATTTTTGTAATCGCAATATTAAAGTCAAGTCGGATATACCCTATTTAGTATGTGCAGGGCATAACAATGGACATGGTACATTGTATTTCTGTTGGCATGTAAAATTCTTGAGTATGTGGACAGAAAATACTCAGGGGATCGAGGGATGCAGTCGGCTCTTTAATTGTGCCGCAGTTTTATTAAACGCGAGCGTAATTAGCTTAATTATACTTTTTTAATTATTTTGTCAGTGCCACGCACAATTGGGCAACACCATAGGAAAACAAATATATGTACATACATATGACTATTGCAAAATATGTGCTACTCATAAGAATGTTGATATAGATTATATATTAACATCTGTCTTGACACATTCCGGTCTCCATCGCACTGTGTGAAATGCCACATGCATAATTATTATTATAAATAAAACAATAATAATTAAAAACAAAAACAAAACAAAAGGGACTAATTGACAAATAAACACAAAACTTTAACTCTTAATTGCGTGGCGCCAGACGGTCGTCACCCGATTTATTTATACATATAAATACATGTATATACACATATAAATACATGTATAAACAATATATACAAATATTTATGTGGTATGATATATATATAAAGCAAGTCAAGCTCAGCTTAAGCTGAAATGCCAAAGCTTCAGGCTAACCAAGTCCCTGCATTGTTTACACTCTCACGTTGACCTAAATGGCCCATTATAAACGTCAAGTTGTGGCAAGTGCCGTGCATTAATAATCCCGCCAAATCCGCCTACGAGTAGTACTTACAGAGCTTGTTAGACTAAGATGCTCAGGCACAGTGAGTCGCAAAACAAGTTATAGCTAGGTTTTTTTTTTTTTATTTTTATTATATATATATATATATATTGAGATATATTGATAGACATACATTATTAATGTATAATGTGTCTTTTAAGTAGTTGGCTACCCTCTTAAGAATATTATTTATATTATACAGAATCTCTTAAAAATATATTTTTTAAAAACATTTGAGGTATATATATATATCATATATCATATTATGTATATATAATAAAATGATTATACATTCACGATTCAATGTTTTTCCCCCTTTACACAATTCTCTATACATTCCCTTAATTTTTTTGCACTCGCGTTTCACTGTGGCCATCAAGTGAATACGATAATTTAAAAAATATATATTTATATATTGGCATATATATGTATATAAAATATGCGAATATAAACAACATTAATGGGTACATCAAATGAATGCAATTTACTCAAGTAACTTATTAAAATTATAGGATAATATCGTAGCGCACGAGCGGGACGACTCGGGATTCTGTAGCTGAGTGCCTGATGAAAAATTTAAAATCAGGCGCCAAGCAAAACAATTTTCATAAATATACCACTGAGGGAAATTGGGGAGAGTCGAAAAAATAAGAATACAAAAAAATGCGAGATGGCAAACCACTGAGCGCATTAACGCTTAAATGGCCTTGAGACCGAGTTCTAGCTATTTTCCTTGCTGCTATCTCTTTCTTAAGCACTTTTTCAGCTTCTTTTTGATTCTTACCTTAAATTTGGCACAGCTGCGGCAGCGGCGGCCGCCGCTTGCAGAGGCGGCGGCACATTATATGGAAAAGGCAGCTTGGCCGCAACGGCTGGATTCTCGAATAGCATTCTGTTGCTGTCGTTGTTGCTGCTGCTGCTGCTTCTGTCGTTGTTGTTGTAGCTGATATAGTGGTAAATTTTGCTGGCTTTTGATACACTTCCGTGTCGCGGCACAAAACACAAAAATTATTTTTTTTTTTTTTTTTTCTGCGTGTTAATTTCTTTCACCTTTATTGTTTTCTTTAGTATCTGATATTTTCTTTATTTTTTTCTTTAATACTTAATTTTTAATATTTGCTCACTAATTTAATTTAAGTTAAGCACATTTTCTTCCTCAATAAATCCGATATGATTTATATACTAAACTGAATATTTAAGAAATATATATTTTGATTACAAATAATACCATATTTGTTTCCAAATTTTGGGGCCCAAAATACAAAAAATTAAATGATTTTTTTATAATAATCAAAAAAGGAGATAATGAAAAAAAAAATTATATTTGTAGCTTAACTGAAGGCTAATTTAGCCTAATCAAAAATGTTCCATATTTCCCCCCAAAGATCCCCTTAATATTGCAAGTCTTAGCACAAGCACATGTTTTCTTATTCCATTATTCCGTTTTCCATTTCTACGTATTTCCCCCCTTTAATGGTCACATCACTTTTTCTCTTTCTCTCTCTCGCTCTGTCAATCGCTTGCTGCGGCCGTCAGTCTTTGCCCGTTAAACAATCATCAACTAGTTTTGTTTTAATTTCTTAGTTTGCTTTTGCTGCTGCTGCTGCTCTACTGCTTTTCTGCCTCTTCTTTTCTTTTTTGCTTTTACTTTCGTTAGTATGTTTGTTGCTGCTGACTTCTGATTCTGGTGTTGCTCTTTACGTCGTATTCGCTTGACATTGCCGGCTTTTTTCACGCATACATCGGCGAATTGTGATTGTATTGGCGTGTACACATTGATGTGCGTGTGTTGTGATAAAAAAATAAAATAAATTGCCTTTGTATGCGGCTGCTTTTGCTGCTATTGCGTTTTGATAAACAGACTCTTGCATTTATGTATATGAAATTCAATTTCATATAGCTAGATTCTTGAGATATATTCAAATATTAATAGAAGCTCGATTTTGTTTTATTTACATAAATTATATTGATTTCCTTGCATAAAAACTCTAAAAACCCACAAAAGCAAAAGACGCTCAGCAATATATTTGCGACGTCATTGAATTCGCCGCATACAACTGTATGTGTGTGATGCCTCCAACTAAACTACCAAAAAAAAAGCAGCAGCAGCTTACGCGGCTCTCTGTCTCCCCACTTATGTATGTATGTACATACATACATATATACTTGAGTCACTCTTTCACTCGCACGTACACAAAGACGGCTCGACCAAAGTAACAGCGCGTGACGATATTACGACAGCAATTACGACAAACGTCAAGAATTGAAGGTCCGTACAGCGCAAGGAACTTTTGTCAACTGAAATCGCAGGAGCGCTGAAGCGCTGCCCAAAGCGAAGAGCAGCGCAAAAGTTGCAAGTTCGCCGAAAAACTCATACAAACTCGCTCTCACCAGGATAACCACATTTCAGCGCACTCAGAGAGAGAGAGAGACAGAGTAAGAAACGAGAGAGAAGTGAGCTCAACCATTTTCGCCGCTTGGCAAACAGTTGGGGTAAAAATCCAACCGTATCATGCAGCACACATGAGACCCATATGCAACATGAGTTGATGACGATGACTATGACGAAGACGGAGACGAAGACTCAAATGCCGCTAACCGCCTTGCCTTGTCCCCACTTCCCACATCTCTTCCATATAACCAACGTAATCATTTCCGACGTGTGCAGTAGTACAACAACAACAATAGGCTGGTGGACAAGCCTAAGCTGCGAGAGCAACAGTGACGAACAACCGCCCGCGTCTTTTATAACGCTTTGTTCTCACATTTAGCGCGCTTTGTTTTTGCTCGCATTTCTTCTGCTGCTGTTGTGTTGTTGTTGCTGCTTTAATATTGAAGCTCAGTTTCGGATAAGCTGACGCGTTTGTTGACTCTAAAACAACAAGAGCGCAAAATAATTGTTTAATTTATTAATGCGTTTCACAGTCTCGCTCACACATACAAACACACTCACAAAGGCAGCTTGATTTATTTGAATTTTTAAATAAAATTTATTCAAGCTACGCACCAAACAGCGTGCTTTATTTGCATTTCTTTTTCTTTAATCCAATTTTCGTATGAACTTGAAAATTTATCTAGATTTGGAGCGTAAGCTACTCTCTCTCTTATACAGCTTTGGTTCTTATACAATCTTCGGCAGCTTTTGTAAAAATCTTATGCAGCACATTCTCAGAGTTTGTTGGCTAATTTATCACATGTTTTCGTCTTTGTTCTTTCGTAGAATTTTTGTGGCAGCCTTGCATATTTAATTACAATATACAACAGTTTCTAAGAATCGTATGCTGCGAGCAGCTGCTTCTTCTTCTTCAGCAATTTCTTATCGCACATTCGATAAAAAAAAATCAAGAGCGTAACTCTTCTAATTGATGACATTGAAAGCTCAAAGTAACGGAAAAACTTCCTATTTTAGTTATTTATTTATTTTTATTTTTCATCTCATTATAATTTTGTTATTTAAGAGTTTATTTTAATTAAGTGTTTATAATCAATGTTTATCCTGAGGCTACGCTAATTTATTTATTAAATTATAATTGTGTATTAAAAAATGCATTGTTTTTGTGATCAATTTTCATTAGTTTAACTTATAATTTTTGAAACTAAGCAGCTTTAAATATTTCTTGGTATAAACATTTTTTATATGCATACATTTATATTATAGAAACACATATTTATTATAATTAATTTGCATGCATCACAAGGGCAGCTTTTTTTTTTTTTTTTTTGATGTTTTTGTTGTTATTGCAATTTAACACGTAATTTAATATTGCTCATGCAAAACGCAAAGCGCTATCGCACTTTAATTAAAAGAACACTTTTTCAATCTCTTTGCAATTATTATAAACGAATTGCGAAAATGAAAAGGAACAACAATTTGTTGCACTTGAAAACTCAATGACAATTTTAAGGATTTACTTTAATCTCTTGCCCCAAAAAACCCAAACAAAATGGAATTTTGTTTGCTTTTAATTTGCCGCCTTTCGAGCCTTTAACGGCACTTTGCCCCAAGTAGCAGAATTTTATGTGGTACGACCACAAAAAAGAAACGACGTTAATGACGACGCGCTGTGTAACAAAACAACTGTAAACAACGACGGCGACGACGACAAAACGACGCACAAAAATCACCGTGCGCTTAACTTCACGTTGTAACGGTCGGAACCAAACTGACAACTAGCGATGCCGGAAAGCATGGCATTCAATTCGCTTGGCAAGCTCTCACTCTCTCTCTCTCTCGCCCTCTCTGAGTAGAATATGATTTCTTGCGGCAAGCATAAAAACCAAAACAAGAGCGCTCTCTCTTTTCTTCTCGGTGCTGGGATCGCCATGTGGAGCGACCATTGCGAAATGCTACTCATTTGAGTCTTGCTCTCCGCTCCAACCACCCACCCAAAAGTCGTTGTGTGCAACAAATAAACATTCGCTGCGATTCGCTGGAGAGTAGTAGTTTGTTTTGCTTATTGTATGCGGCGAATTCGCCTATTCGGATAAAGCAGTGTGAGATAGCGACACAAACGTGTTGGCATCATTATTGCTAGCTCGCTTGCACTGCCATGCAATGCAATGCCCGCAGTTTCATGCTTCCGTTCTTTAAGCATCTTGTTGTTGTTTGTGGTGTGGATAAAAATGAGTATAGCATCGTTATGGAACGTATTGTATAAGATATTTGTATCTTATACGTTGGTTTGGGCAATTTTGATATTTGAATAGGGGAAATTTTTGGCAAATGCTAAAAACGAGATTTGAAATCAAATTTTGGAAATATTTACTTAGAATTTAAATGTCAAACCGAAAACAATTCTTTTTGTTAAGTCGGTCACTTAAATCAAATTTTGTGATAGACCTCTACGCAACGACTAACATCAAAGACATCAAAGCATGTTGCGAATTTGTATAATTGTTTGATTTAAAGTTTATTTTTTTTATTTTTATTTTTTTTTTTATTTGTAAAGTTTAAAACAAAGTAAGCAACAAGCGCAGCCCCAACAAGTTCTGCAGCAAAGCAGCTGACGGTGACTGTTTGTTCGCTCTCTCTTTCTCTCTGTCTTGCTCTGCTGTATTATTGTTGCCAACAGGCAGCGAAGAAACGGAAAACGGAACACAAGAAACTTGTTTGCTGTGCCTGGAGCATGAAATAAGACTCAGAAATAAAAAGACAAGAGTCCGAGCAACAACAACTGCAAATGTTACAGTTGAAAAGGTGAAGCGAGCGAGGGAGGCAGACAGGTCAAAGGAGCAGACGAGACACGCCTCTGCTCCTCTCTGCCTTCCTCTCTCTCAGTCTCTTCTTTATAAGTGTCTCCTAGCTGACAGCAATAAATTTGGAACGCCTGTCTTCGATTAGCCGTTGGAATGGGCGCGTGTGGAACGGCTTTGAGCATGCAGAAACGCATTGGGAATGGGGCTCGTTTTATGGCTAGAGTAAAGGTAAAATTTATAACAAAAAGCGCACAGAAATCTCTGCCAAACAAATTGGGTCATAAAAGTAATTAGTGAAATCTGTTCCTACTATATATAATATATAGAATATTGGCTCTTTTAATTGGCTGCCAAATTTTTGGCGCGCTAGACTTTGTCTGGCAATCGAAACGTTAATTTCTGGTCACTTTTCCATAGAGCAGCTACTCGGCAAGCAAAAGGCTGTGGGGTACGGGGACGAGGAGAAGGGGGTAATTGAGCTGGCAGCACAAGGGCGCAGCTGTTGGGAGACAGAGATAGAGAGAGACAGAGAGAGAGAGAGAGAGAGAGGCACTCACTGATGTGAGCTTTAACCAGCCAAAGTTCCGGCTATTAGTCTATTAATTAAACTGCCATAACCTTAAATCACGTGCCATTACAACAAAACCAGGGCTGCAGAATTGAAGGAGTGAAATTAATACTAATACGGAAAGAGTATAACTTTAGAGTCTTAAGATTAACGAAATATTATATATCACGATGAATGGCTGTCGATCTAGTCCGAATAGATAGACCTATTTAAGACCTACATATATTAAAAGTACCGCCCATTAGAGTATGTCACAACCAAACTGATCTATTTCTGTTACTGTCGAACAAGTATGATGTAGTCGGTTGTTTTCTATAGCAATATTATTATTTATTTTATTTGAAAGAGTTGTTTATTAAATAATTACTTTATCGCATATTAGGTATACATATATAAAAAAAAAAATTATTTATTTTAAATTTTGGTGTTTGGTTTTAAAGCCATTTGGTAGCTTTTAAGCCTTGGCTCACAGAGACATGTTTTATTTTTATGGAAGTGACATGGCTCTTGCAGTCATTTATTTGCATGTCCTTCGCATTTGCTGTTGCTTTTGTTGGTACTGTTGTTGCTGTTGTTGTCGCTGCTGCTGTTGTGTTTGTGTTCATTGTTGCTGTCAACGCTGCTGTTCAGTGTTTGTGATGGGCGCATATAACAATTAGCCAAGGCTTAGAGGTTGCTGCCTCAATTGCAGCAGATATCAGGCACATGTGTTGCCATAGTCAGCTGAATTTGAGATCTGGCGTCTGCCAGGCAAAACGACAACAAACAGACAGGCAGAAAGGCAGACAGACGGACATTGGAAGCATCGGGAATGGAAGGTAACATATACCTTAGATTTAAGAAGCAATTTGTAATCGATCTGACGATTTACGTCAGCAAATTACAGTTAATATACAGATATATAAATATACATAAATATAGCGAACTGGAAGCTGCTGGAATATTGGTTTATCTTTTATGACCTTATACGATCTAGAGAGAGAGAGAGAGAATGAGAGTTCGAGGTAGAGAATGAGAGCTCGACGAAGAAATAGAGGAAAATAAAAAAAAAACGAGAAAAAGTTAAAAGGGAAGAAACGATAAGTGTAAAATAAAAAGAAAAGGAAAGAAATGAATAAACAACTAGAAAGTCACATAGAAAAGACAAGTAGAGAAGGCAAAACAAAATAAATAGCGAGAGTAGCACAAAGACATACAGAAGGAGAATCAGGAGCTGGAAAAGAAAAATCGAAAAAATCGAGAAACAGAAATGAAAAGTCTTTATTTTCTTTCAAATAGAGAAGTAGATAAGGAGATAATGAAATTGAAAGAGAGTAGTGCATAACAGAATCAGATATAAAATGATCAAAGTATATAAGAAATATTCTTAATGATCCCATAGATGCTAAACAGATTTTTTAAGTTGTATTCATATTCCCACGAATCACATAGAGAGGCGATGCTTAACATAAAAACCAATGAATGATGTATTAAGTCATTTCTTAAACTATGTAACTTTTTATATACTAGCACGTTAAAAGTTTCATAAACTTCGGCTCATTCAATATTCATGTCAAAAAGTTTGTAGACTCAAGTGCCGCAACTTTCTAGATGAAAACAGAGAAAGTATTTCTCCATCTAGCTGAAGACGAGCGTAATATATCATTCAATCAGTGCACAAATTTACAAATCACTTGCTCTTGCCAGTTTTCCGACTGGACACATGTATACACATATTTACATATGCATATATATATATACATATACGTATGTATGTACATGTGTGTGTGAGATGAGCCCTCGAGCATCTGTCGTTGTCAGCGCATCGACGCGCTTCATCAGTGCGCTGATATGTAAATGTCATAAATCATGCACACCTGTCCCCAATGGCAGCGTGGCCGCGTGTCACCAGAAGCAGAACGAGCTGCCAGCCAGCCACCAACAGGGCCAAAGGACCAAAGGATAGCTGGACAGATGAAGAGGCCGACAGCGGGTCAGCCGCATCAACGAAATTGTCAACGCAAACTCCTAGCTATTGCGTGAATGTGTGAGTCTGTGTGTGTGTGTGTGTGTATGTGTGTGGGTATGGGGCTGTATGTGTGTCTGTGTGGTCAAGCCTTTTGTTGCCCAGTCTTTGTTTCCAAAAATGTAGCCAATGGCATATAAAGGGGAGGCAGGTGAAACGCTACAAATTGATTAGACACGTGTAGCAAATGATTTGTGACCAATAAGCCAGGTAGTAAGTGCTCTACTAAACGATAGAGGTTTGATTAGTAATTCATCTTATGTAGCAAAAAGTGGGCAAAAACAGAAAATATAAAACTCATTTCCATTTCAATTGAAATGTTGTAGCTTTAGTTAATATATGTATGTATTTTATAATTAAACGGAAGTCACGCTCTTATAACCATAAATAAAGTCACAGAAACTTTTTTCTCAATTAAATACGATATTTTAGAATTTTTAATTATATATTTTTGAGAAGTGAAAGGCGAGACTTTGGAGATTTACAATTTTGCCATAAGAATAATCGATTTATTGTTACGATTTGATAAAAGACTGACATGTATAATCGAATAGATCCATAGATACTAATAAAAAATTAAGCAGATTACAAATATTCTTATCTATAAATTTTTAACGATTTTAATACCACAGCAATTATATACTATCGGAAATATTGCATAAATAATTATATAATAATTATAAATTAAAATACTAAAGTTGAAAAAATAAAAATATTATATAAAAAATATACATACGCTTGAATTGTATTTAACAATTTTAGAATTAAAAAAAAAAAAAAAATTCATTAACCTTTAATTACCACTAAAAAGTTTTCCGAGCTCAAAACCTATGAATATATGTTTTAAAAATTTCGGTGGCTATAAATATCAAATACCAAAATCCTCTTCGAATAGAACGCTAAGTGAAATTCCTTGTGTCTGGCTTGCTCAACGACCGCTCATAATAATAAACCAGGCTCTCATTAATTGCTTGGCCGCAGCACCTGCTGCTTAGCTGAAAGCTTAAATGCTTCCGGTTTCCGTTTACTCGCTCTCTTTCTCTCTCTCTCTCTCTTAAATTATTGTATATATGTATCCATATTCGTATGGATCCTCTTTTTATTTTGCATTCTGGTCTGCGGCTTGGAGGATGTTTAACAGAAAAAACCACAAATTTACATAAATATGCCACAAATCATAGCTGAACGCGCCAAGTGTCGCCGAAAGGCTGAAAGGCTGCCAGATACTATCTCTATCTCTCTTGCACACACACACACACATACCCACTATTCATCTGCGTATGTGTGAGAGTGCCTGTGTGTGTGTGCGGTCAGCGGTTTGTCTGACAGACGAGGCGGTCGGCCATTAAAAATGCATGAAAAGCACAAGTTAATTTTTTATCCACACTTTCATTGCAGTTAAAAGTTACCCAAAAAAATACCATATACTATAATAATAAAAATACTATAAAAAATACCATGCAATATTTATGTGCAGCATATGTCCTGGGCGTATTTATGCGACTGTACCTATAGATTTTGTATGACCATTTCACAGCCTGCCTGAAAGGGTATTATCGGCATTTATATCGAGTACGTAACGAGAGTCATCTACAAGTACAGCGCTCACTCGATAACTGTAACCTTTCGAGATTTTGAAATTACTTAGAGGTAGAGAAAATATGAAATAGTGTATATTAAATAAATCATATAACTAGTTCAAATATTCATAATAATTTGAATTCAAGCTGACTTTTAAGTTGAAGCTATTCTTGAACTAGTTCCGCTACGTAAAGGATGATGAAATCTTATTCTAGTTTATACATATGAGTGCATAAGCACTATGGTTAGCGGT